ACTCAGTATATGCTATGGGAATCAGAGTGTATTGGCAATTTAGAAGGCTGTAGGCAAAAAAAAAAACTAATGCTTCAATATGAACTTTAAATAGCGTAAATAAGAAAAGTCACCACATCAATATATTTACTGACCTGGAAATGTGACAGCACATTAGCAGATTGCCCCAGTACACATAATTGTTTCATTTACTGTCATGTATGAGGCTCGCAATTCAAGAAGCGGCTAGCCACAGGCTCTGAGAAAAGAAATGAGAACATAGAATTGCATTGTGCAAGCCATTTGAGTATCTGGGCTGATTTGTATCACAGCGTGGAGAAACACTGCATGCTTAGATGTATTAAATGGTCAAGAAACCTTAACTCCTACCCCTGGGCAAAACACATGAATTATTCCAGAGTTTATTGAAGTATCTCATGGGGCTAACTGAGGAAATTTTATTTCAGTTGCTATAAATTTGCAGCATAACATTATTCTTTTCAAATAATATAATGGAACTATAGCTAGTTTAGATGTTTTGTCTCCTAATAGCTACTTTTTTAATTGTACCCACACATATAAACTCAACAAACAAAAATCTTTTTTCTTGGTGCCTTGCTTTTTAAACCTGTTCTTGGCATTATTTGGGGTGCTGATTCAGAAAATTGCATTGGCTAAACTGCATCAGCTCTAGTTAACTTGCATTTGGTCAAACTTATATAAATTGTTTTGTCAGTTTTTGAAAATCTTGCTGATCAACTTGTTCTTCTGTTTCCTTGTTTGTGTTTTTCCATACAGATTAGCAGATATAGTGATAGTGTTTACGGATGTAGTGCCCTTTGGTGTACATAATTTATAGTGTAGTTAGAGGTTTGTTAAAAGCCTGGGTGTGAGTCAGTGAGTTGATGTTAGGTCAGGCTGGAGGGCTCTACAGGTCAGGCCTCTGGTACCTGGTTTCTAGAAGATAGTGGGTGGAGGCCAGAAGGTGCTGATCTGCATATATATAGGAATCTGGCCAATCCCTAGGCAGAAGGCCTGGCAAGGTGGCATAATCAGCCCATAAATACGAGAGAGCCTGGCCAGCAAGGTAGTCTGGTGCAAGATGGAGTGCTGAGGTGTGCTGCTGCGTAGCCTAGGAGGAGACCCCGGAGAAAGGGGGTTCTGCCTCCAGGCCGGAGGTTGGAAGGATGTAGAAGTAAATTGACAGAGAGAGCTCCACTGCCCTATAGTCTACTGAGGAAGGACAGCCTGCAAGCTTGGAAAGAAACTAGCTCAGTGAAAGCCTTGAACGTTTAACCAAAGTTACAGGACACAAGTACCTCTACACACCTGGGGCCTACAAGAGAGAGGACTGCTAGGTGTACCCTACTAGATCTCCCTGGGACAGTGCTACAAGTCTGTTCTAGAATCTCTTGCTCTGGGATACTCTACAAAGACAGTCAGGTTGATGGGCAGTTTCGAATGGGGTCTGAAGAGGTTCAGATAAAGAGGGGACCAAGTGCTCCTTACAGAAACTGTGTTACTGATCCGTAGAGAAACTGATGTCACTTCGCAGGGAGTAGAAAGTCCAGTATCCACAATTTTTTACCAGAATTTAGGATGTTTGTCCTCAGAGTTATCGTTTCAAGTCAAGTTGGGCATTCCATATACCCCTAGATCCTATCCAAGTTGTTTTTCCCAAATAAAGCCCCCAAAAACAAGCCCATGGACTGGTTACTGACTCTGACTAGACATTGGAAAATGCATTTTGCTTGGCTGTGCAGGAAATAGGGGAACCCAAACTCAGTGACTCTCAAAGGGGTAGTGCTTCACGTAATTCCAAATGTAATTTTACAACAGAAACATTGGATTCTAATGTGTAAGTTATTAACTGCATTATAGTTCTGATCGTATAGGAGGTGTGTGTAGATTGCTACTCATACTGTTTCATTATTGCAGATTGATTGCCATAGAGGGTATGGCTACTTTTTTATGTATTTCTTTCATGCTATAAAGAGATTAAATAAAACATTAAAATATTCCGATTTTTGGTGAGTATGGCATTTATGCTGTATCTCAAAAACTAGAGCTTATAGGGATTAATTTGTGCAATTTTTGGAATCAGTGGGTCAAATACACCCAGAAACAGGTCTAACATTCGAGGCACCAAAATGTGTACTGGCCTGTATTATCATCCAGTATTTTGGCAATCCTTTATCAGTTGAAAAGCAGTTTTGGGGGGAATGTAGTGATTGGTTGTTCTTCATTTTTTTCACCTGATCGCTATTGTTTTTCCTAAGATAGGGCTGATGCTAGAGATGCTCATTCCCCTCCACAGTCATAAACATGTACACTCTGGGGATCCAGTTCATGGAAAGATCTGACAGATCTCGAAGAAGTACAAAAGGAATAGGTCCACTCAAGGTGTGGCGATGCCACACCCCCAATATCACAATAACAATATCATTATTCCCCTGGGACTTTAACGCAGCAAAAGAAAAATAGAAATTTTTACATAAAAAATATATAGATTTTATTTTTACAAAAGATTAAAAAGTAGAGAACATTCTAAAATACAGATGCTCTGGTACAGAGGCTTCCCTAGGGTTGGTGTCACCCGGTGCAGTTACACGTGGTGTCACCCCTCAAGAGAGGAAGGAGCGGTGCTGGTGTACTGGTAAAAGGAGTATCCCGTAAAGATATGTATCCCCTGAAGCAACTGCGCATGTGTCGGTTTCAGGCCGAAGAAACCGATCTCTGACTTTAGCACAGAGCTGCCACACTTAACCCCTTACAGGCTGCAAACTGCTGAAGCTGATCCCGCGGATCACTATGGGTTACAAGATCAGTTAACCCCCCTGCTCTGGTATACCTACATGGTGATAGATGTACAGTACACTATGATACCCCTATATGACAGGGTAATGCATATAGTCATATATTTAATAGAATTTCTTCAAACAGTGTGCCCTGCCGAAAAAGCCCCAATACGTTTCAAATGATCTACACAATCTTCATCAGAAGGTAAAAGAAGATATCTCCCAGAAGTTGGATCATCACACCCAGATACTCTGATATATGGATAGCATGGAATAATAACCAGTCACTCTGTATGAAGACAATATTCGGATTTATTGGTGCATTAACAAGGGTAACTAAAGGTAAGCATAAATGTATTCACCTGTATATATATATATATATATATATATGTGTGTGTGTGTGTGTGTGTGTGTGTGTGTAAGCAGGAATGTTTATTACATTTTGTGCTGTCTGCCTGTATCCAGTTAATGCACTGGATACAGACAGATGGCACTGTTTCAGTTGGTGTCCTTAATTCCAGTCTCATTGCCTACTACTGCCTGCTATCAGGGAGTGTTTCTGGTAGTAGTGTGGGGAAATGTAATATGGTTGGCGTATGAATATTTGTGTCTGGCCAACCACCAGTCCAATCACAATATTCCCATAGCACATGTGCTTGAAGACAGCTGTTCAACATTGTTGGGTGCTGCAGTGACCACAGACTGGGAACCGTAGACAATTAAAGCAAAGAAATGACACCAGCACACCAAGGATTCCTCAAACTGTTTCAAAGCTTTATTTCGTGGCCACATTGTAAACACAAAGGCAACGTTTCAGAGCCACACAGGGCCCCTTCACCGGGCAAGTGACACATGACGAAGGGGCCTGCGTGGCTCTGAAACGTTACCTTTGTGTTTACCAGGTAACCACAAAATAAAGCTTTGGACCCATTTGAGGAATCCTTGTTGTGCTGGTGACATTTCTTTGCTTTGATGGCTAACCACTAGGAGTTTTGTTGTCAGTGGAGCATACTGGGGAAGGGTATAAATATTTGGATTAACCTTGAGCAAGAGTCTTCCCCAATCCTAAGGCCTGGGAATGGGGGTGCTGTCAGTGCTGCTAACTTTCTAGGCCTGTTGTCTAGGGATGGCCTACACATGTGTTTGAAGGTCGGTCCTTGGTCAAGGTCTGGAGCTGTCCTGCCTGGAATGAAGGAAGCTACACTCAAGCTGTGGCCTGAAGGAAAATGATTTCTGCCCAAATGAGGTGTCCTGGATAGCTGTGTGCAGCTGCTGGCTCACAGAGGACTTGTAATGCTACTCTCTACTACCCTTAACTCACCAGGCAAGGTACTGCTATATTACAGAAATTCCAGACTCAGCTTAAAGGCTGTTATTCTGTAAAGCTTGGAGTGAAGACTAGAGTCTGTGCAGAACTGTGCTTGGGGTATTTGATGCCCTAAGCCCTCTGCTTTTTTGCACCTGCCAAATATATATCCAGTTTATTTGTCAAAGTGACTGGCACCCAATGTATTTCATCCCCAACTGTGGTTGGGAACATCTAAAAATTCCTTGGTGGACCCCAGGATTTCACCAGTCTCCATACATAGCTAAACTGTCTCTTTTTGGAGGATTGACACTGCCTAACTTAGTCACATTTACATTCACTGTCTTTATGTTGTCACTTTTGCTATATATACTATATTGCCAAAAGTACTGGGATGTCTGCCTTTACATGCATATGAATTTTAATGGCTTCCCAGACTTTTTTTTTCCCGTAGGGTTCAATATTGAGTTGGCCCACCCTTTGCAGCTATAACAGTTTCAACTCTTCTGGGAAGGCTGTCTGCAAGGTTTAGGAGTGTGTCTATGGGAATGTTTGACCATTCTTCCAGAAGCACATTTGTGAGGTCAGGCACTGTTGTCAGACAAGAAGGCCTGGCTCGCAGTCTCCACTATAATTCATCCCAAAGGTGTTCTATTGGGTTGAGGTCAGGACTCTGTGCAGGCCAGTCAAGTTTCTCCACCACAAACACGCTCATCCATGTCTATATGGACCTTTCTTTGTGCACTGGTCATGTTGGAACAGGAAGGGGCCATCTCTAAACTGTTTCCACAAAGATGGGAGCATGAAATTGTCCAAAATGTCTTGGTATGCTGCTGCCTTCCCTTCACTGGAAACTAAGGGGCCAAGCCCAACCCCTGGAAAACAGCCCCACACCATAATTCCCCCTCCACAAAACTTTACACTTGGCACAACGCAGTCAGGCAAGAACCATTCTCCTGGCATTCGCCAAACCCAGACATCGTCCATCGGATTGCCAGACAGAGAAGCATGATTTGTCACTCCAGAGAACACGTCTCTACTGGTTTAGAGTCCAGTGGCAGTGTGCTTTGCACCACTGCATCCAAAGCTTTACATTGCACTTGGTGATATAAGGCTTGGATGTAGCTGCTCAGCCATGGATACCCATTCCATGATGCTCTCTATGCACTGTTGTTGTGCTAATCTGAAGGCCACATGAAGTTTGGAGGTCTTTAGCTATTGACTCTACAGACAGTTGGCGACTTCTGCACACTGTGTGCTTTAGCATGTGCTGACCCTGCTCTGTCATTTTGCTTCCACTTTGTAATAATATCACTAATAGTTGACCGTGGAATATTTAGTAGCAAGGAAATTTTACAGATGGACTTATTGCACAGGTGGCAACCTATCACAGTACCACGCTTGAACTCACTGAGCTCCTGAGAGTGACCCATTCTTTCACAAATGTTTGTAGAAGCAGCCTGCATGCCTAGGTGCTTGATTTTATACACCTGTGGCCATGGAGGTGATTGGAGCACCTGAATCCAATAATTTGGAGTGGTGTCCCAATACTTTTGGCAATATAGTGTATATTTGATATAAACAGTTTGAATTGGAGCATATGAATAACATAAAGAGTTTACAGGCCTGAAATGGAGGAACTGAAAATTAAGACATAATAGGCATAACCTCTTTTGCCGAGTTGTTGTAACATGGAGAGCATTGGAAATTTCTAAAAACTACTTTAATAGAGAAGTAGGGACTTTTTTTTCCCCCAAATATACGTACCTACATGGATGCAGCATCGGTCCGATGCTGCATCTGTCCCCTGACAGCTCTAAGTGTGAGAACTCAGCGATCACATGACATGAGTTCTCACAGCCGCTCTGAGCAGAGAGGGGGAGGAAGCGGCTGTCTCAGGCTCTCAGCAGCTCGCTAAGAGGCTGAGCCAGGTGCTGCTACACTCTCTGGGGTGGATCCCAACTTTGAAGTCGGGATCTTTCCCCAGCCTGAACAGTTTGATTGGCGGCAGCCAACAGCAGGCTTCAGCACGCTGTCAGCTGAAAACGGGTCACACGAGTGCAAAACAAACTGCACTTCTCTGATCCACAGGACAAGTACAGCCAAAAGAGCTTTGGCTGTATTTCTCCATTAACCTTTGTAAGAAGTTATTGGGGATAGCTTTTTCACACCTGAATGCATATCAATCAAATGTAATATCAAATGTAATATATATATATATACAGTGGGGATCGAAAGTTTGAGCACCCCAGCTAAAAATTTGTATTAATGTGCATAAAGAAGCCAAGGAAAGATGAAAAAATCTCCAAAAGGCATCAAATTACAGATTAGACATTCTTATAATATGTCAACAAAAGTTAGATTTTATTTCCATCATTTACACTTTTAAGATAACAGAAAACAAAAAAATGGCGTCTGCAAAAGTTTGGGCACCCTGCAGAATTTATAGCATGCACTGCCCCCTTTGCAAAGCTGAAAGCTGCCAGTGTCATGGATTGTTCTCAATCATCGTCTGGGAAGACCAGATGATGTCAATCTCAAAGGTTTTAAATGCCCAGACTCATCTGACCTTGCCCCAACAATCAGCACCATGGGTTCTTCTAAGCAGTTGTCTAGAAAACTGAAACTGAAAATAGTTGACGCTCACAAAGCTGGAGAAGGCTATAAGAAGATAGCAAAGCGTTTTCAGATGTCAATATCCTCTGTTCGGAATGTAATTAAGAAATGGCAGTCATCAGGAACAGTGGAAGTTAAAGCAAGATCTGGAAGACCAAGAAAAATATCAGACAGAACAGCTCGCAGGATTGTGAGAAAAACAATTCAAAACCCACGTTTGACTGCACGATCCCTCCAGAAAGATCTGGCAGACACTGGAGTTGTGGTACACTATTCCACTATAAAGAGATACTTGTACAAATATGGGTCTTCATGGAAGAGTCATCAGAAGAAAAACTCTTCTACGTCCTCACCACAAAAATCATCGTTTGAACTTTGCAAATGAACATATAGACAAGCCTGATGCATTTTGGAAACAAGTTCTGTGGACCGATGAGGTTAAAATTGAACTTTTTGGCCAGAATGAGCAAAGGTACGTTTGGAGAAGAAGGGGCACAGAATTTAATGAAAAGAACCTCTGTCCAACTGTTAAGCATGGGGTTGGATCAATCATGCTTTGGGGTTGTGTTGCAGCCAGTGGCACAGGGAACATCTCACGAGTAGAAGGAAAAATGGATTCAATAAAATTTCAGCAAATTTTGGATGGTAACTTGATGCCACCTTTGAAAAAGCTGAAGTTAAAGAGAGGATGGCTTCTACAAATGGATAATGATCCTAAACACACCTCGAAATCCACGGGAGAGATTACATCAAGAGGCGTAAACTGAAGGTTTTGCCATGGCCTTCACAATCTCCTGACCTCAACATAATTGAAAATCTATGGATAGACCTTAAAAGAGCAGTGCGTGACAGACAGCACAGAAATCTCAAAGAACTGGAAGACTTTTGTAAGGAAGAATGGGCAAAGATACCTCAAACAAGAATTGAAAGACTCTTGGCTGGCTACAAAAAGCGTTTACAAGCTGTGATACTTGCCAAAGGGGGCAGTACAAGATATTAACTCTGCAGGGTGCCCAAACTTTTGCAGACGCCATTTTTTTGTTTTCTGTTATTTTGAAAGTGTAAATGATGGAAATAAAATCTAACTTTTGTTGACATATTATAAGAATGTCTAATCTGTAATTTGATGCCTATTGGAGATTTTTCCATCTTTCCTTGGCTTCTTTATGCACATTAATACAAATGTTTAGCTGGGGTGCCCAAACTTTCGATCCCCACTGTACATATATATACACTGTATATATAAATATGCAATATCGTAGAACCCTGACTGTGCCATAAATTAATGAGTACTTTCTGAATTAGATCTAGGCAGCACGCATTTTTTTCCATCTGACTCAGACCTCATTCCAGAAAAAAATGTTCAATTGTCAATTGCAAACACCTTATAGAAGCTGTGACTTTTTTCACTTACTCACTCTCACTTTCTAATTTCATCTTTTACTGATGTGCTCTGGAGACTGATAGCGATCCCAGTTTATTGCTTTATTCACAGTTCTTGTTATTTGTTTTGTGCATCCAACTGATCTGGGTAACAGCTATATTTCTTGGTGTATTTAAAGCTGTAAAAAACACAGTTCAGATGTTCACATAAGACAGTGTTTTATGGGATATCTATTTTTCCTTCACTCCAAAAAAATTGGATATAAGAACACAAAAGTCAAGTGCTTTAAATGCAACATTTTCTTTTCCTTAAATATTGTTTTATTTACTTGCAATATGCCTTTGAACTTGCTAGAAAAAACTGACTAGTCGAGACCCTTTCCTCCTTGCACATGACAGCCCTTTCTATTTCTGGGGGGAGAGGGGTTATTTACTTTTGTAGTGGAGTGCCATAGATGTGCCCTGTTGTAGTTCCCTTATGAGGTACCACTGTAGGAGGCGGTTAGATGGGAGACTAGGCTCCTTAGGGGGTAGGAGAGTGCATGCCCTGCCTCATGAGGGGCACCCCTTTATAAAGTAGAGTATATAGTTACAGGAGAAGGGCTTGTATTTTTCATACAGGTGACCAGCCCCATGCCTACCATGTAGGCAGGAGGCCTAATGAGTATGCTTCTCCCCTGGGGGCAGGGAACAGCCAGTTAGGCTACCATGCTGTTGAGGATTTTTTCCCACTGCTTCTTCTGCTCGGATCACCTAGGTGATCTGAGTGAAAGTTTGCCCCCCCCCCCATTTGCCCCCAGCTTTCTGGGAGACCATTCGCAGAAGGCTGTGAGACCATTCACAAAGCACAGCGTGGCTTGAGCACGAGCAGTGGGAAACTTGCTGTGAAGCTGAAGGGAGTCACAGCAGGCTTCCCACGTTAAACATGCTGGTACTGGGAACCCAAAGACTGGTGAAGAACTAGGGAATGTCCTTTTATTAAAAGTCAGTGTCACAAGTTAGCCTGCAGTTTCTTGTTTGTATTATTACCTCCTTGCTGCAGTGCTGTTCCTGATCCCTTTCACGTGTGTTTGTCTGTTCTCACCTATGGGCGTCGTCTGCTGTTCTCTAGGTTTTATTTCCTTCCCTTCCATCACTTCCTGGCCCGCCTCCTTTTTTGCCTGTCTATATTGGGGCTTAGACTCCGCGCCCTGGGGAGCCCCAAGTTGAGTATCTACAGGGGCTCACTACCACAGGTGCTGACAGTCAGCAGCTCCAATATTTGTAGTTGCTGACTTTTACATTTTTCTTTCTAGGGTGAATATCCTCTTTAAGATTGGGACTACCCTCATCCCTTTGGGGCATGAAAGGACCTGGGGATGGCCATCTTGAAGTGAGGAGGTCTCGCACCACTCTACCTCTCCTTATAGGCTTGTACTGTTGGAATTTCAAATAATTGCTACCTTCAGCTGGAAGGCTGAATGAACTGGCTGTAAATAAGCTATATTTTTATTTAGCAAATGCCTAATGGCATTTATGGTGTGGATGTTCTGTTACTCCTGATCAGCTATATGGGAGTGTCTTCTAGAGTGAGCTGCATTGAGGTCTGGTGCCCGGACCAGTGAGTTATGGATTTACATAACCAAGAATACATTGGTTACACCAGGCTGGGGCTGTTACGGGTGTCTTCCTAACATATGCTGGGAAACTGCCTGGCCTCATGCTTAGGTACCCTGGATGTCTGGATGTACAGGTCAGACAATGAAGGGTTAAGGAGCAGAGGTGCTTCTCCACCTCTCAGACACAGAGCTCAGAGGAAGGCATGTAGCCAAGTATACAACACTTATTACATAACAATCTATGTGCTGCCAAGGTCCTCCACCCCTCTCCTCCCTACAACGTTTTACGTAACTGTTGGTGGAGGAGAGACAGTTAATACAATAGGGAGTCATATGAGTGCTACTTGTAAAGTTAGTCATAAACAGCTCAACCAGGTTTGACAAAAGTACATTTAAAAATCGACTGAGCCATGTGGAAAATTTTTGGCCTATCAGATGGAGTCACCTTTAAAGTATTTAGACAGCTGCAGTTCTCTGAATACAATAGTCAGCAGTGCAAATTCCTCCATCCACGCAAAACAGCTGTTCAGCGTGGATGAAGAAATTTAATGATTTTCTCTTTTTTAGTCCACTATCAGTGTATTGCTAGCCTAAGTCTCCTGGGGCTGATGACATCACATCTAAAATGGCAGGACCCAGCAGCAGTCTACAGCTGGCAATACATTGATAGAAAAATGAATGAGAATTCATACAAAACCCGAAACGTTCTTTCAATTTAACATTCGATGGCCCAATCATTGTATCAGAAATTTTCCTGTGAATATCAAAATTTTTTCCAATCATTTTCAACATTAAGGATCATTTTTTTTCCAGTTACCTACTACTACCCCTACTGCTCATGCGCATTTGACTTAAAAAAGTTTGTACATTTGCCCAATAAAAATAAATGATCTCTAATGAAGTGTACAGCATCTCTAGTTGCTACAGCATTTGTTAAAACCTCTTACATTTACTCAGTCTGCAGTACCCTGTAA